TAAACATACATTTTTACGTCAATTTGTGTACGACGGTTTTAAAGTGCACCAATGTGCTGAATGCGTTTAGTCGAATTCACTATAAATTTTCCAGAAAAGTGGGGGGGAGGATTCAAAACCATTTTTCAACTCGACAGAAAATTATTGACTAATCAAATAATATTGCGTAATATTTTTTTATCATTTTTGTTTCACAACCTTTAAAAATCACTCTTTTTGTAATTGTGACGATTTTGATGATTTTTTCATAAACCATTTTTTTGGATTATTTTTTTATGAAGTTTAGTTAATTTAGGTATTTGGTGATTGATAGGGTTTTGCAAGATTGGCACAAAACTGGAAATCATGGAAATCAGGGAAATATCAAAGAAATTAAAAACGGTTAAGAAAATCAGGGAAAAGTCAGAAAATTTTGTAAATTTAGAAAATAAAAATTATTGATTTTAAGAAGTTTGATATGCACACATCATATTTACGCAGTTAGGGAATACTTATTATTAACAATTAGTTATTAACTTATTAGTAACAATTAAATGCAAGTAGTGTTATCAACATTAACAGTTACCAAATCAAGATAAAAATACAACAAACTTATTGAAAAGACTAAAAGAAATCATGAAATGATAAGGAATTTTTAGTAATCCTGATAATGTTTACTTAATGTGTACTTTGTTGTGGTTACTCGAAAATCACGTTTTTTTTTAGTTATATCACTTTTGAAGTAAGGAAGCAAAATTTGACTTCTACGGAGAATGGAAATTGGGATGTCTGGCGGATTTTTTTGCAAATGCACCGTGTTTCATTACAGATGAATCGTTCATTACATACGCAGAATCAAGCAAGATCAATTACTCACATTCGTAATTTCATCGCAATTTGCAATGAAATAAATGAAGGAATAAATGGAAGCTAGCGACTTCACGTCGCGTATTAATGATAATTTATTCGACATTAAACTAGAAGATCTTTAGCCTCACGTGGAGAAAACCGGTGAAGTGTTTCGAGTGCGACCGACTTATATATATTTCAAGTACTTTTATTTATTCGCTAACAGCAGAGTCATGATCAAGATGCTAAATACTTTCTCATTACGATCATTACGATCCTTCGATATTTTAATTGAAAATGAGAAGTAATCTCTGCTCGATTTAATATAAAATATTGAAAATTCGCAAAACAGATGACTCTTATAAACAATTTTGCTGAAGAAAGATTGATCGTATAAATCGATCGACTGAACTTCTAACTGTATCCTATATATTTTACGTAGAAAAAAATTCGTGAAACATGTTGCTGTTTCTATAAAAAAAGACGGCGTGAAAGGTTTTCAAGAAACAGTGAAAATTAAAGAAATATTTAAGTAAAAGATTGGACATACAATAAAAAATATAATTGTAAAAAAATATATAAAATTACGTAAAAATAATATGTATAGAAATTTATAATAATAATTGGAAATTGTATATTTTTACAAAAATTAATATACTTATTTTTATATAATTGCAAATATATCTTTATATTAAACGGAAAATTACAATAATAGTAATAATACATTTTATAGTTTCTACCACGTAAATGTATAATATAAATTTTTGTAATATTATATAACATAATGATAATATGTATATCACGTATTATATTTGCGTATTTATTTTTTAAAAAATTTTTTGTAAATTGTGACTTTACACGTGTTTATATAAATAATGTAAATACTTTTAATAGCAAGATCCAAAATTATCCTCGATTATCCACTATAACTATAATTTTTCAAGTAATTTTTGTAATGTGTACAGTTTAGTCCGTTATATTTTTTAGGACCTGCTTAAGATAGAACGAGATATTTATGCATCTCATTCTATCTTCCATCTATCTCTTTTATCTTAAACACCTTTCTGAATGTGATGGACCAATCAAAGGTCTAAATGGTATTCAATCTCTTATTCAAATATCTGTAACGAGAACAAGTGTGACGCGAATTAAACGAATGTGTGACATATTCAATTTTTCGGTCGAGTAATTTTAGCAAAAATAAAAATTGTCAAACGCCGCTCTCTTTTACATT